ACTTACGGTTTCAGGAAGTTAGGTTTCGGGAAGTTAGGTTTCGGGAAGTTAGGTTTCGGGAAGTTAGGTTTCGGGAAGTTAGGTTTCGGAAACCTAACTTACGGTTTCAGGAAGTTAGGTTTCGGGAAGTTAGGTTTCCGTAAGTTAGGTTTCCGAAAGTTAGGTTTCGGGAAGTTAGGTTTCGGAAACCTAACTTACGGTTTCAGGAAGTAAGGTTTCAGGAAGTTAGGTTTCGGGAAGTTAGGTTTCGGGAAGTTAGGTTTCAGGAAGTTAGGTTTCGGGAAGTTAGGTTTCCGTAAGTTAGGTTTCCGAAAGTTAGGTTTCGGGAAGTTAGGTTTCGGAAACCTAACTTACGGTTTCAGGAAGTAAGGTTTCGGGAAGTTAGGTTTCGGGAAGTTAGGTTTCGGGAAGTTAGGTTTCCGTAAGTTAGGTTTCGAAAGTTAGGTTTCCGGAAGTTAGGTTTCGGAAACCTAACTTACGGTTTCAGGAAGTTAGGTTTCGGGAAGTTAGGTTTCCGTAAGTTAGGTTTCCGAAAGTTAGGTTTCGGGAAGTTAGGTTTCGGAAACCTAACTTACGGTTTCAGGAAGTTAGGTTTCGGGAAGTTAGGTTTCGGGAAGTTAGGTTTCGGGAAGTTAGGTTTCCGTAAGTTAGGTTTCCGAAAGTTAGGTTTCGGGAAGTTAGGTTTCGGAAATTTAACTTACGGTTTCAGGAAGTTAGGTTTCGGGAAGTTAGGTTTCCGTAAGTTAGGTTTCCGAAAGTTAGGTTTCGGGAAGTTAGGTTTCGGAAACCTAACTTACGGTTTCAGGAAGTAAGGTTTCGGGAAGTTAGGTTTCGGGAAGTTAGGTTTCGGGAAGTTAGGTTTCCGTAAGTTAGGTTTCCGAAAGTTAGGTTTCGGGAAGTTAGGTTTCGGAAACCTAACTTACGGTTTCAGGAAGTTAGGTTTCGGGAAGTTAGGTTTCCGTAAGTTAGGTTTCCGAAAGTTAGGTTTCGGGAAGTTAGGTTTCGGAAACCTAACTTACGGTTTCAGGAAGTTAGGTTTCGGGAAGTTAGGTTTCGGGAAGTTAGGTTTCGGGAAGTTAGGTTTCCGTAAGTTAGGTTTCCGAAAGTTAGGTTTCGGGAAGTTAGGTTTCGGAAACCTAACTTACGGTTTCAGGAAGTTAGGTTTCGGGAAGTTAGGTTTCCGTAAGTTAGGTTTCCGAAAGTTAGGTTTCGGGAAGTTAGGTTTCGGAAAGTTAGGTTTCGGGAAGTTAGGTTTCCGAAACCTAACTTCCCGAAACCATTGCCTATATATAAAATTTTTAGAAATGTCTTTCAATTTGCTTATAATTGCATTGTTGTTACTAAATTAAGTAGTTTTAGTTGTATATCTTCCTATTTCTATAGTCTAAGTATAATTAAGACTTCTATTAAAAAATTTCATTTATAGATTATAATTACGTTTAAAAAAAAAAAAAAAATGTTTGCCTAAATTTCGTCTAAAATCGTTTTAAATACATTGTAATTACGTCTTATATACATCCCCATGGTTTATTTCCCCGATATACACCGGGAAATCGAAAAAAAGGCTCCCCCACCCTCCCTTTTTTCTTTTACCATATAGATTTTAGTGACCTTGGGGATTTAAATTGATTTTATTTTGCTTTTGAAGGGTTTTTTGCGGAATTTTCTTTTACAATCGGTGTTTGCGGGAATAGACTAGTATAAATTTTTAATCTAACTCCTTTTAGAATCGACAAATTTAAAATTTTAAGAAACATGATTAGAACACCAACTAAATCGGCGGAGGGAGTGAGCTCACCTAAGATGCCTTCAAAGACGAATATGGCGGCTCGACGAAGCCTTGAGGAAGTGTTAATGCCGCCAGTAATTAAAAAGGTAGGAAAAGGACAGGAAAAAAAAAACTAACGCTATTATCTATGAAAGAAGCCGACATAATCATCGGAGAAGCGAAAACAGCGCTTGATCAATCAAGAAATCTTAAAACCGAATACAAAAACACCATGTCGGCTTCCTCGATAAACTCAGAGAAATTATTATAAAAATAATTATAAAAAAAAAAATGATGACAACATCGGAGGCATAGTGTGCCTGTGGGGGACCCGGGGACGCCGGGGTTGTAAGGTTGTTGACAGAGGACACCGGCTCTTTATCTGCGGTGGACCAGGAGTCTGGCATTAGTGCCAAGCTTGATGAGCACACTCGACTCTTGATGGAGAACTCCCGGAAATTGACAGACCTCCAAGAGCGACTGGCGAAGTGCCAGAATACAATAGAGCAAAAGACTTACGCGAATGTGGTGGCATCGAAATCGCCACAACAGGTACAGGGCGCAATTCACTCGATGGTTGTTACGTCGAAAAATGAAACTGAGACTAGTGACGAGGTTCTAGATAAGATACGACAGACAATCGATGCGAAAGAAGGATGGGTAAAAGTTGAGAGAGTAAGGAAAGCACGTGATAGAAAGATCGTCATGGGGTTCAACTCCACAGAAAAAGAAAGAAGGCTAAGGAACGGCTAACTGAAAAAGGAACCGGCCTCGTTGTTGAGGATGTTAAGAACAGAGACCCACTCGTGATCCTCAGAGGCGTCTTAAAGGTGAACACCGATGAGGATATAGTCAAAGCCCTGAAGAACCAAAACAAGAGTATCTTTGACGGCCTCAATAGCGAAGACGACCGGATCCTTGTCAAGTATAGGAAACCGACCCGGAACGCGCAAATGGAATACGTGGTCCTGAGCACCTCGCCCATTCTTTGGAATCGGATCACAGGTATGGGCAGCGTCCACATAGACCTCCAGAGGGTCAGAGCGGAGGATCAGTCCCCACTGGTTCAATATTCTCGTTGTCTCGGCTACCATTCACAGCAAAAAAAAAATTCTGTACGGAAACGACAGACGTATGCAGTCACTGTGGAGGTCCACATCTTAAGACGAAATGTACCGAATGGGCTGAGGCAACCCCGCCCTCATGCAGAAACTGTCTCAAGGCGAAGTTTGAGAATCGAGAGCACAATACATTCAGCAGTGACTGCCCAGTTAGACGGAAGTGGGACGAATTGGCCCGCTCGACAGTGGCGTATTGCTAAGGTTGTGCCGGTCGACACAGTGGCAATTAAATTTCTGCAAGCGAACCTCCAGCGTAAGAAACTCGCACTTACCGAGCTCCTGCTTGAAGCCGAAAAGGGCGGAGTTCAGGTGGCGTTAGTGCACGAACCATACGTCGGTAGAGAGAGTAGGGTATCGGGTCGGAGTGGTATAAGGGTCTTCCAATGCACCGACAACGGGGAGGGTACTGTTAAGGCAGCAATAATTGTCTTCAATTCTGACCTTCACATCACACAATACCCAAAACTCACCACGAACAACATCGCAGTGGTGGGGATCCGAACCAGTGCATGGGAGATTACCCTGGTTTCGCTCTACTTCGAGCCCGACCAGCCTATGGATCCTCATCTGGCACACCTGCGTCTTTACCTGGCACATCTGGCACACACACACACACATGACACACACACACACATAACACACGCATGGCACACATGACACACATGACACACACACACACATGACACACACACGACAGACACTAAAACACACACACATGACACACATGACAGACACACACATGACAGACACACACACGACAGACACTCACACACACACACACACACACACACACGACAGACACAAACACACATGACACACACACTCACATGACACACACACACATGAGACACACACATGACACACACACACACATGACACACACACACACACACACACACACATGACACACACACACATGACACACACAATGACACACACATGACACACACACACACACACACATGACACACACACATGACACACACATGACACACACATGACACACACACACACATGACACACACACACATGACACACACACACACATGACACACACACATG